CTTTTGATTTAACGGGTGGGGGTTACATTACCCGAAAATTGCCATTTGGCCCCCCCGCCATTTTTTTTCCCCAAATTTTTTTGGGGGATTAACCCCCTTCCACAATAAAAAGAAAAAGTTATTTTGGGAAAAACAAAAAAGGGACAAAAACCCCCCAATATTTTCCCCTTTCTTAAAAACTTTTTTTGGGGGAAACCCCTTAAAAGGAATTTTAATTGAGGCCCAAATAAAAACCCAAGGATTTTTTTTTTTAAAAAACCCTTTTCCCAAAATTCCCGCTTTTTGGGTTGCAAATTTTTCGGGGCGTTTTTGTTAAAAATTTTTAAAATTTAAACAAAAATCCAAAGGGGGTAAAACAATTTTTTTTGTAATGCAAATCCCCTTTTTTTTCCTGGGAAAAGGGAGTTTTTTACAATGGGTTTTTAAACCCGGAATTGGCAAAATGTGGTCTTTTGTTTTAAAAGGTATTTTATAAATTGTTTTTAAACCTTTAAATTTATTTGAAATTCCTTATTTTTTCGGAAGTTTAAAAATTTGTTCTTACCTAGGATTAAGTTTTGGGGAAAAACCCCCAAATATTTTCTTTAATTTTCAAGGGTTTTAAAGTTTTAAACCTTTATGCCCTTTTTTTCGAATTTAGCAAATTTTGCTAAAATTTCAAAGATTTTTCCTGTTAAAAGGTTAAAGACCCAATAATTAAATTGGGGTTTTAAGAAAGTTTTTTAAATCTCCAAAAAAAAAGTTAAAACGGGTTAAATTTTTTAAGGAAATTACAAAATAATCTTTTGTTGCGTTTTTTTTTTTAAAGGGTTTCTTTATTTAAAAGGGAATTTTTTTGGAAATAAAAATTTCTTGAATTTACCTTGTAAATTTTTTCCTTTTGGAGGGACTTACCGGTTTGGGGGTTAATTTCCCTGGAATTTTTTAAACAGTTTTCAAAATTGGAACATTTTGGGGTGCGGTTTAAATTTAAGGGTTAAAAAAGTTTTGGGGTTTTTTAAAAGGGGAGGGTTTTTCCGACTGGTTCTTTTTCCGGGAAATTTTTAAAATTAAACTTCCGTTTGAAAATTTTTTTTAAAAACGAAAAAAAAACCAAAAAAACCTAGAAAAGTTAAATTTTCCCTTCAAAGGGTTTGGTTTCTTAAAGGAAGTTTCCCTTTTTAATTAAAAATTTCCAATCTATTAAAATTAAAGTTTTATTTTTTAAATTTCTGAATTCAAATTAACTTTTTTAAAATGTTTTTTCGAAATTTCCCGTTTTTTTTTTTAAATTTAACAATTTAAAGATTGAGTGTCCTCTGCTTAATTATCTTTTCGAGGCCTGAAAAACGACGAAAAAACTTGTCCAAATTTCCCTCCTTTTTAACGAGTTTCCAAAAAAGGGAAATCTTTGGGTTTTTTAAAATGAGTTCTTGAAAATTTTTATTTAGCCTTTTAGGGATAAAAAGGGGTTTCTTTTGTTTAAAAAAAATTCAAATTTTTTTAACAATTTTAAAAATTTTCTTATGATACAATTTGGGGAGTCAAAAAAGGTTTTAAAGGGCCAAAAAAATGTTCTTTTTGGAAATTTTTTTCTATTAAATTTAATTTTTGTTTTTTTAAAAATTTTTCCCTTTTTCCCTTCCAAAAAGTTTTCAAATTTGGGGGACGCCCCTAAAATTTTGAAAAAGCTGCCACTTCCCTTTTTTTTCTTGCCTTGGGTTTTTAGAAAAAAACGAGTCTGAAAAGCTTTTAAACCCTTTTAATGGGGTTGTTTCCCCCAACATTCGTATGGTAAAAGACTGAAAAAAATAAACATTTTAAGTATGATTTAAAAGGAAAAAGACTAGCAAATTTTAGGATTACATTTTATGATATTATGCTAATGTCCCTTTAATTTATTAATTGACAATGTGAATTTTCAAAAAGAACAGTCCCCCTTTTGTTACGTATTAAAAAAAGCGTTTACTTTAAAAACCCCCCCAATTCAAAAAAAGGAATTTTTACAAAATACTTTAAAAAATTCCCCTATTTGAAAAAAACCCTTTAAGCTTTTTCAGTTAAACAGTCCTTGTAATCTTACAAAAAAAAAAAGGGGTTCAAAAAATGCATTTGGGTGCGAATAACAAAAATTTCGCAAAAACTAGTGACCTTATTTTCTCCCAAGAATTTTTCAATGCTTAAAAAAAATCCATAAAATTTAACAAAAATTTTAAATACAAAGATAATGGGAAAATTTCTATCTTTATTCAACCCCATAAAATTTTACACTGTGGGGGCTTTTAAGACAAAATTTCCCCCTTTTTGAAATTTTCGTGAAATTGGGGGAGCCAAAACTTTTACAAAAAACCAAAAAAAGATATAAAACACCGAAAAAAAAAAATTTTACAAAAAACCCAAAACATACTAGAAAAAATGGGGAAACCCAAAAGGGTTTAATTCGACTGTAAACTTTTGCTTAATGTTCTGATTAAAAACACTCCCCGTCTGGTATGCCAATCCCACATTCAAAAAAAGGGAAAATTTCCATAAGTTTCTAGATGCATTTCAAACAAATTGTTTTGCAAAATCAAAACCCAAATTTACCCACCAAAAAGAAAAGAAAATAACATAATTAAAAAAAAATTTATTAAACGCTTTTGACTAATAATTACTTTAACCCATAGCTTTTTAGAAATTGAAAATCCAACCTTTGACAATTAAATTTGGTTTAGCTTATTTAAAAATATCCCAAATATGTATTATGGTTTGCTTGTTCTAAAAAAAATTACCTTTCTACAAAAACCCAATTTTTCAGAGTTAAGCTTTTGACTACCACACTGGTTTTTTTAAAAATTTCCCAAATTAAATTTACTAATTTATTCAATTAGGAGCACTAATTCTGTTATTGGTCGCACTTTAATTAACGCTTTTTTCCATTTTTCATTTCCCGCAAAACTTAAAAGGAACAAACTTGATTGTCAACTTTCACTAGGTAAACCTTAACAAAATTTCCCACGGGCCCATTTGATTACGGTCTCATTCAGCATCTTTCAAAAAGGACTACATCCCCAAATTTTTTAGTTTGGTTTGTACGCCCCAACCCACTTTTTTACGTTTTTAAAGTTTGAATGTAACCATTTTTCCACTGTTTCCAAAACGAATTAGATAAAACTTGCACATATTTCCATTGCGACTTGTAAATATCCTTCATATTCAAAGACCTGTCTAATCCAGTCAAAGGTTCTACCTTCTGTGTTAGAAGAGCATTAGGCGTGAGCATTTCTGGTTTCTCCGGGTCTGATGAGATTGGGTGAATAGGACGCGAGTTTATAATAGCACATACCTCACACATAAATGTACACAGCACCTCGTGATTTTGGGTTTATGAGCATGATTCCTTTGGGCAGCATTCCATCAAAAATTCCCCCTGGCTAGCCCAAATTTAATTTTTCTCCATCCCCCCTTTCCCAGGGTTTTGACGATGTGGGGGTTTGAACTTCCAAATAAATAAAAGGGATTCCCGTAAATTTTTCCCATCATTAAACCGTTTTCAACACAAATTCCGTCCCATTAATATCATCTAAAAGGCTCCAACAAAGTTATTTCCCCCTGTCGGCCCAAAAATTTTTTTTCACTGGACCCCGAAACCCCAAAAAAGTCTCAAAGCATTTTTTGAATAAACAAAAACTCTTTTCCCTCTACAACTTTATTTGGACGGGATCTTGTCCCTTTAAACATGTGAAGAGTATAGCCCATCTTTTATTCTCTGCAAGTCCACCTTACCGTTACATTCCATGGTCCAAAAGTGTCTACCCCTACAACAGTGAATGGAGCACTCGGCGTTAATCGTTCGGCAGGTAGATCAGCCATCCTTTGACTTGAGAATCGGCCTCAAACCCCTCCTCCCAAATCACAAAAAATCTATGAATATTTGCTTAAAAAAAAGGTCTTTTAAAAACCAAATTTATCCAAAAACCTCCTTTTGCTTTAACAAAGCTTCTGTTTTAACCCGGGCCCTTTTGATGATTTTGATTTTTCATGGAAATCCTCACCATAACAAAGCAAACATAAATTTTCTTTGGTTTTAATCACCGGATGTTTAAAAAACATTTTTCACGGGAGTTTTGGGTTCAATACGTCCTCCAACACATAAAACACCATTTTTGTTTTAAAGGGGAAAAGGGATTTGAGAGTTCCCAATCTCCCCTTTTAGTGATAAAATTGTTTTTTGACAATGTTTGTTTTTTAGAATCAAATCCCTTTCTTCTGTACTTTTTGTAACAAAATTTTTGGTTAGCTTCTCTGTTCTCGAAAATTTGGTTTTGCCCTTTCAATTCTTACCGATTTGTACATATGCCAAGCCTTCTTTAACACTGAAAAGGCTGTTTTTAAAGGGAGGGTCCGGGGTAAAAAAATTTTCTAAAATTTTTGGTAGGGGATTTTCACAGAATTGACTTTTTTTCTTAAACATGAACTTCAGGACGTATTTCACAGTCTTCTTCAGGTTTTCAAAAGTTCAAAGGACGTAGGCCTTGTGACTTGTGTATCCAAAGTATCATCATACAGCAAATCAGGACCTTTAATCCAAGACACTGTTCTCTATCTCTTCACAAACCGGTAGGCATCTTGTGGCGAAATCAGCAGGGTTTTGTTCTGTGGGTACATAACGCCATTGTTCAGAAGAAGAAACATTGAGAACTCTCTCAATACGATTGCTTACATAGGTAAAAAATCTTCTTGTTTTATTACTTAAATAGCCAAGAACGACTTTGCTGTCAGAATAAAATATCATGGAGGATATTGCGATGTTCAACTGTGCAGATATAATCTCAGCCAATTCCACAGCTAGCACAGCTACACATAACTCCAGTCTTGGAATTGTATGACCCTTTAAAGGAGCTAATTTTTGCTTTTCCCCCAGGGGGAAAAACCACAGGGGGTAAATACCATTTTTTGTTCTTGAAACCTAAAATTTTGACACAGCACCCGATAGCTTTCTCAGTTTGCGGTCTAAAAGGGTTTGAACACTGAGAGGGTTTTCAGCGGGAATTTAAAAGAAGTTGTTTGAAAAAATGCGGGGAAATAGCAACTGTCTGTAGGTTTTGAACTGATTCTCTCCACTTAATCCACTTCTTTTCATGATCAGGTGGCAAAGGGGAATCCCAGTCCACTCCTGGTGGCGCTGCTTCTCGAAGAAGAATCTTACCAGTTATAGTTATCGGAGCGATAAAACCAAGAGGATCAAAGATACTGTTTACCATAGACAATACGCCTCTTAATGTGAATGGTTTATTTTCTATCACAACATCGAAAATGAAATTGTCCTGCTTTAGATCCCAAGATACACCTAAACTACGCTGTACGGGAAGTGTGTCCTGAAAGAGATCTAACGTCTTCAAATCGCTTCCAAGATCTTCTTTGTTGAAAGCAGACATTACTTCAGGGCTGTTAGAAGCAATTTTGTGCAGTCTTATATTTCCTTCTTCTTTCAGCACTACCCGTGTTTTCTTCATTAGGTTTATAGCTTGTTGGGCATCATGTTGTGAAGACAACGCATCATCTACGTAAAAGTTTCTGCATACAAATTTTTGTATTTCCTTTTCAGCATTCTGTACAGCTTTGCGCAATCCATATGTAGCAACAGCTGGTGATGCACAATTACCAAACACATGCACGCACATTCTATATTCAATCAAAATGTCTCTAGGGTCATTGTTCTTGTACAAAAAAAAACCAAAGGAAATCACGTTTCCCCTTTCTTTTCACACGAAACCTTTTTAAAACATTTGCTCTCCCTTTGCATTTAAATAGCAATCCATTTTTTTGGGAAAACAAAATTTAGAACCCCAAGAAGACTTTTTCCCAAACTGGACCGACATCGGGCAAACTTTTTTAAAAAAATTTCCCTTGATTTTGATGGGGGGAAAAATTTCCAAACACACCTTTAACTTTTTTTGGTTTTGGGGGTTGAAAAACACCGAAAATTGGGGGGTTTCCCAAACATTCATCCTGACGTGTTGTTGGGGGGCTATTTCAGCACCCTCCCCCTGTGGGAACTTTACCAAAAATTTAAACAAAGTTTTCCTTTTTTTGGATCTTTACAAAGGGCTTTTTGGGTCCAGAATTTTTTTTGCCCTTTGCCATGCCTGTACCCTTATTGCTTGGGCTTTTGGGCCTTTAACATGTTTGAAGGGGAGGGGAAAGCAGTCCAGAAACCTTTTTTCTCTTTTTTAAATCTCTCTTATCCATCAATTTAAAAAAACTGCCTACCCTCAACTGAAAACCCAAATTTTTGTTATCGTTCCTGTTCTGTTGAAAGACGGAGTTTTCCGGGAAAAAGCCCTTCCCTTTTTGAGTTTAGGGGGGTTTTCCCTTTCCCAAAAACATAAAAAACTATTTTCTTATTTCAAGCTTAAACTTGAAAAGGGCCCTTTCATTAAAGAGTTCTTTTCCCTTTCTTGCATAAGAATGTTTTTTTTGACTTTGACCAATCTGGCGAGTGCATGCGCCCAAAAAAAACTTCCCAAATTATGCCCCAACCCCAAAAAGACAACTTTTTAAAATCGAATGGTAACCCCTTTGTTCCAGAACCCTTGACCCAAATAACTGGTGGGGCCCTTCAGTCAAGTCTCTCCCTATAAGAATTTTCCAATCCAATATTGAGCCCAACTGGGAAATCTGATCTCCCCAAGTGCTAAAAATGACTATAACCCAAGCGACCTCGGAGTTGGTTTTTCTGACTTTTTTTTGGGGAATATCACACATTCTATCCCCTTTTGGCAGAGTTTATATTTTTTTCCCCATCTAGAGTTTGGGAACCCTTTAAAAAGATTACTCGCATGTCGGCCCAAGTTTTGTTTACAGGGCCCGGGAAAACCACAAAAGATAAAGTGTAGGGAAAACAGTTTTTTCCTCTAATATGAAAACAGTCAAAAAGTTTTTTCGTAGCTAGGTGCGGTTCTCTGGTCTTATTATTTTCTATACACTTTCTGTTTTCTAGCATTTTCAGGTGTGTATTTCACTTACCCCAAAACTTTTTTCTGCAGGATTTCCCCTTTTTACGAGTCTTTCCCCCCAATGAGGGACACTTAGTGAAACATCTTTCCCATATTTTAGACCCCCTCCCCGGGCCCTCATCTCGATATTTCCCCATACCCTTTTTTCCAGGGCATGGGTATGCATGTCCCTTTCCACAATGACACCCCTTAGTACCTACTGCCCGTTACGCGCTGTGTGGTTAGTAGGGTCACAACATTTTTAAAACAGGGCACCACTTTTCCCCCCAAAATTTTCTTTTTTTCTTCAAAAAGGGTTTTTTTGAGGGAAAACCCCACAAGAATTTAATTTTAATTTGGTCGGCCCGATTTAAGAGGGCAACGATTTCCTTTCACTTTGTCTGAAATTTAAAAAACTCCTGGGTTTTCGGCCCGAAAACTTTTGGCCCTTTTATTTTTGGGTAATTTTCAAAATTAAAAGGGGTCTTTTTTGCTTCACTTTTTTTCACGTTTTTGTTTTGGGGCACAAAGAATTTCAAAAAGGGGGGGATAAGGGAAAACCATTGTCTCTTTTTATTTAAAATAGACCACATGCCCCTTTTTCCTGTATTTTCCCTTTTGGGAAATTTGTTTCAATAGGGTTAAAAACCCGACCATGAGTTGAAATAAACAGAAGTTGGTTATAAATGAGGGTTTTTCTTGTAGAGGGCTGCATTCACATTGAATGTCTAAAAGAAAATTTTTATAGTTTATGAAATTCCTTATTGTTTATTTTTTAGGAAAGTTTGTTTAAAAATTTTTTTTCCCCTTGGGTGATTTTAACTGTCTTTTGGACGCCATAGCGGGTTTTTTCTAGACGAGGGCCATATTTTTTGAAGCCTGTTTCAGGGTTTATAAACCTTTTGAAGCCTTTTATCTATTTGCGAATTTACGCGACTCTGGTCCTAGATATTTAACTAATAGATCAATTTCCTCATGATGAGAGAGCTCTAAAGAGCTGGCAATATTATTAAAGCTTGCCTTCCATGACAGAAATGTTTCGGGTTTATCATCAAAATGAGTTAGTCTACTTAGTTGCAGATCCTTTTTAAGAAGAAATTGGGAAAGACCATGAATAATTTTATTGTCTTTTTCATTAAATGGTGTTGCATTTGGATTTAACATAGAACTATATTGTTTATAACAATTTGGCTGTGTTATGTTATCACTTGTCAATATTTGCTGTGGATGAGGAGGCTCTACCTTGTTCATGTGGGTATACACTCCTGTATTATTTACACTATGTTTGTCTATTGAAACACTGTATTGATGCAGGTCAACTTTTGGAGTAGGTTGAAAATGCTGATGCTTAAGCGGTGACGGTGTACGCATAGTGCTCGTTTCCTGTAATTCGTCAATGTATCGTTCCGTGAATTCTTTCCTATCGACAACACTAAATCCATCCTCATTGTAGTTACATGTATCTTCTAATGCTTGTAGTTCTTTAATCGCAACTGCATGTTCACTTTCTAACTTAATAATATCCAGATCTACTTCAAGTTCAGTATTTTGTCTCAGTGTTCTAGCTACAGTTCGATCTAACTCTTCTTTAATCATTGCTTTTTTGCGAAGAACTTCCGCTTCTTTTTTCTTAAATAACAATTTAGATTGATGTACCTCTGCTTCAACTCTCTTCTTCGACGCAACTGAAACACGACTTGAATAACTTGCACTAGCCACTTCAATAATGTCTAACTTTTGAGAACGCAGCTTCTCAAGAAAAGTGTCGATAATCTTCTTGCATTTTAGAAAGTATGTAGTATTCTTGATTAAATCTTCATTTGATGCCGTGGTGTTCTCACGTGATAAAAAGTCGGTATAATCGTTGTTGTTTAGAACAAATTCATGAAATTTTGTTTTAATTTCTACTTCTAATTTTCTTATGTCACTTAGTTCACACTTGTCATTGTCTATAATCAAGTTCTCAATGTGTGTCCAAACATGTTCAACTTTTTCGAAAAGTTTGTTTCTATTAACTTCGTAGATATTTGTTCCTTTCTCTGTTAAAGTTCTAACTCTTCTCCTCTCAAGTTCTTCTTGGTGCTTTGGCGGATCGCCTTTTTTACTCTTTAGTTTCAGCTGTACATTCTTTTACTGTCTTGCCTTCGGGTTTGAAAAAAACGAGTCATGCAAGCAGTTTAACCTTTAGTGGTTTTTTTCCCCAACATTCGTTGGTAAAAGACTGAAACACAAATAAAACTTATAAGTATGACTTAAAAGGTAAAAGACTAGCTAATTAGGATTCACTTACGATATTATGCCTAATGTACCTTTAAATTAATGCAAATGTGAATATCAATAGAACAGTCCTCCTTGTTACTATTTGAATAAAGCGTTTACTTTAAAACAACAATTCACAAAAAAAATATACAAAATACATATAAGAAATGCTATTTGAAACAAACTTTAAGCTTCTTCAGTCTCACGTGTTGTAATCTTACAAAAAAAAAGGGGTTCGAAATGCCTTGCGAAAAACAAAATCGCGAAAACTATGACCTTTTTTTTCTGCAAGAATTCTCAAAGCTTACAAAAAATCCATAAAAATTTAA